TGACGAGTTAGAACCCAAGATGGGTTGTAGTCAGGTTTGACCAACGGCACAGTAGCTCAGTGGGTTAGAGCATCCGAGCATGTAACCGAGAGGTCTCAGGTTCAATTCCTGCCTGTGTTGCTTTTCTTGGATAGCCATTGTCCTCGCTCATTAGTGCGAGCGGGAGCCTGCACGAGCCGCTGGAACGCGAGGCTCAGAAGGCCCGGCATACAAAGTCGGGAGGTAGTCGTCGTAACGCCTGGCCCGTGTAACGCGTCCGGAGCGTGTGATGAGTGCGGGCTCTGGCGGTGGTGGTTCTGGCAATGGAACAGGTTCGGGCAGTGGCTCGGGGTCGGGATCCACTGGAAACTCAAGTCCGGGTTGGTTAAGTAGCTGAATAAGAAGGTCAGTCCAACTACCTTATGTGAAGACATGAGTAGACCATACCTCGCGTGCATGTATGCGGTCGCGCCGCTTTTGGCGGTGGGTTTCCTCCAGGCGGATGTCCTTCTCGTGTCTCTTGCGCAGGGATGCAGACACCGCAGCTGCTCCCGTGGTCGTCTTGCATCTTCGCCGGTGCTGACCGAGTTTCCGTCCGTCTGCTGGGAGCTCTATGCCGCACCGATGGCACAGCGGCATGCTGGTGGTTGCAGAGCAAGAGCCAAAGGCTAGATGCGGCGTAACGATCCCATCACGCGCGCTCGACGCGATCACGTGGCTGGTGCATAAAACGCGTCGACGCGTCAGCGCCCACCGACCAGCCCTCTCTTGTCTTCCACCATCACATCCACACGCATACAGCCACCCGAGTGCACAGACATGGGAGGCGATGGTAAGAGGAAACGCAAGGCCGAGGAAAAGGAGGCAGAGAGGCAAGCCAAGAAGGCACGGGAAGACGGGAAGAGACGCGCCCAGGTACAGCTGCGGGCGGTCTCACGCACGGTGACTAAAGCCACCGAGAAGCCACTGCCTCGCAACCCGTCTGTGCCTCCTCGTTCCCCATCTCCTCCCCCCCGCAACTCGTCTCCTCCACTGATTACCAACGACGCAGAGCAAGTCGACCACCCTCCCAGAGGTCGCACACGCAATCGTCGTGCAAGGTCGCTTTCGAGCGGCCTCTCCAGCGACTCCGACTCGTCACTATCACCCCCACCTACGCCGAAGCGGAAGCGAGCTCAAGAGGTCTCCGGCCTCGGTGACAACGAGGTCATCCAGCGCTGGAGGGACTTGTGCGCGACCATCAAGATCATGGCAGACGATAACAAAACGCGCAAGTAAGTGTCTCATATGGCGCATATAGCCGCTTCAACATGCATACACTCACCTATTTGTCTCCTGTAGTGTCTCCAAGAGCATCTCGGACTACCACGACAAGGCCCGACTGGTTGGGCAGCACGTTCACCCGTTCATCAACGCGCAACAAGCCCTCACTTTCGGACTCACCTACAAGGAGGGTGACTTCGACTGGGATGAAGAGGATGACGAGATGGATGCGGACGCAGACAAGGACGAGGACGGTGACGAGGACGAGGACGACGAGGAGTCTCCCAAAGAGAAGCGGTAAGTGCGCTTCCCCCTTGAGAACATTGCTCGCCCTCACATCTCGCCCCCGTTCCGGCTGCAGAGCGCGCGAGCTAGCCGACAAGAAAGAATTGTTCTACCAGTACAATGCGCTGCTCAACATGATCCCGGACCTCAAAATCGACATTCATCTGCTGACCGATGCCGAGCTCGAGACACTCGGAGATTTCGTGAGTGTTGCTCTGGCTTGGGTACCACATACTGATGTGCACACAGATTCAGAAAGCGGCCAGCAAGGCCCGTGGCACGGACACGAGCCACCTCGTCAATAGAATGATTACGTACATGCAGATCGCAGACAGGAAGCCCAAGAAAGGTGTCCCAAAGCTGCCGCCCATCTTGACCAAGGCCCTGCGTGGGTACGGCAACTACCACACCGCCCGCGCGCTCCTTCCGCCGAGCGCGCGCGAGTCATTTGAGAGCGATTGGGAGACGTAAGATGTCCCATGATCTCACGTAAGAGTACTGACGTTCGGATGCAGGTTATGCGAGAGCATCCTCGACAAGAGCCTGCACCTCGTGGCTGAAGACTGACCATCATTCCTGTTTGACATCGACATGTACGAGACGACCGACGCCATGCTACTCGACTGCTTGTTCCGCAGCCCTTTGTTCAAGATGGTAAGTGTTCGCTTCTGCGTCTGGACTGTCTACTGATCATTGTGCCGTCTAGCTCTACAAGTCCTTGTGGACGGGCACGGTCACAGCGGGCATGGACGGTTGCCGCCCCGATAAGGTCCCGGGGAAGTCTCCCATCGGCGTGCACTACAAGCTCAAGGAGGTGACACCTCGCAGCCTCGTGTACACTGCCGTGCTGGTGCGTTCTGGTTGGCGTATCTTGCGCAGGAGTCTGACGCTATTCTTCCAGGCACGCGAGGTCCTCACAGCCCACGACTGGAGCTTGATGGACCTCGACTTCAACAACTGTGATTTTTTCAACAGCTTGGTTGCGCTCTTCGCGCTTCCGTTGTCTCCCTGGGCGAAGGAAACTTTGGATTGGTGGTCTATGTACGTGATCTTACATCGTATGACTGATTTGCTAACAGCGCATCTTCTAGGGAAGTCTATGGGAACATGTCGGCAAGGACGACGAAGAAGCTCGTTGGGAGCCAACGGACGACCGCGAAGGCAATCCGCCTGACCCTCAAGGCAATGGCATCGGCCGCGAAGAAGGGGAAGATGGTCGCGCGGTAAGTAAATGTGTGTCCGGGAGGCCTCCGACTGACGTTCCTCGCCCCAACAGTACGCCATCGTCTCCCGCCCCGGAGCCCTCGGACCCCTTGTCCTCGACCCCCGACCGCGACTCGAGCTCGACCTTGGGCTCGGGCTTGGGCTCCGGCTCGGACTTCCATGCTCCCGAGGCCGAGGATACTTCCGACCCTCCTGACGCCGACAATGCGTCGTCGTCGTCATCACTTGCTGTCTAGGCCGACCATCTCCTGTGCTTGCGCAACGACCTCTTGCATCGTCGACGTACTCTTGTGGCGTCTGGGACTGCGTCAGCGCTCCGACCTCCTTCATTCTGGCTTCGTCTCGTCTGTCTGCTATGCTCGTTAGGCTCTCGCTTTGGCCTCCTGGCTCGCTCGTGTCCCATGTACTATTAGCCGGCGCCGTAACAATAGAAAGAGAATAGTATTCAGTGTACTATTGATACAATCAGATTCGATTTCTATCTGCCCTGCGCGTCCTCATTCAGTGCGATGTGTAGACCATGGCTTCGCGCCCCAGCACCCTGCATACTACCATGCTGACTTGCAGACATCAGGTTGCCCCGTGAACGTCTGCAGCCTCTGGCAGTGCACCGCCAGGGAACGCAATGCGACCGCGAACCGTGGCGATGCACCCTAGGCGTCAGGGTGCGTCGCCAAGGTATGCCGCGCTTTCCCATGTATGCATACAGCCCATAACCATGGCAAAGGATGTGCATACCCCGGCGGGGCTTCTCGAGCAATGCGAAGGTCTTCGACGTATGCATGGGTATGCATGACGTCCCATACTTTGTGCGGTTTTGCTGATGTCCGCGTTTGTAGTAGGTATCGTTGATCCAGTAACGATTTTTGAACGTCCCGCTTGTTCCATCGAAATGATCGAGTGGCATCTTGTCACAACGGCCTGAGATCCTAGACTGCGAGGCGAGGCGACACGAGAACGACTCACGTTGAAGAACAGTGCATCGTTGGGCGCTGTTTCCCCTCGTCGAACCAGAGTCAGGTCTTCAGCGTATCGCAAGCTAGGATATTGGACTGCCGCAACGAACGCGACGAGCTGGGAGAAGCATAGAAACAAGAGACGAGGGACCCAGGTCATAGTGGTCCCCAATGATTCCCCAGTGAGGCGAGAGAGGGCGTTGATCCTTATGTACTATCTCAATGAACGGATCGCAGGTGATCCATGACCACCTCACGGAGCAGCGGCGGACGAGATAAGGGTGGCGTGGTCACCGAACTTCGTGAGTTCGCAAGTTCGACCATGTGCATCATCCCGAGCCGCGGTCCGGTACGCTGTCATGCGCCCGGCGTGCTGGCAGACGTTGAGATGTTGAAACACTAGCGTTGTGTCCAGCCGTTGTGTAGGATGTTGTCACGGTACTGCGATGGAGTGTTGAGACCTGGCGATAGGAGCCGAATTCAGTAATCTAGACGCTGTATCCCGAACTCCTCACGGTATTGAACAGGATGCAGGAAGTCCGAGCTGCAGATGAGTCCCCAGAGAAGTCGAAACCTAGAATTATGTGAGGTATATATAGCAGTACATCCGGTCAGCCTAGCCATCGTTACAGCACTTGACTCTGATGGCTGCTGGGGTCGGAAATCCCGTAGCGCTCCTTCTCCCAGTCGGACCACTGGAAGACAGGGAGAGGGTGCGCCTCGGTGTTGAACACCCAGCGGTCGAGGGGAATGAGGTCTTCGTCGGTGAAGAGGAGGTATAAGTACTTCAGCCTGCAAGGCTACGGTCAGCATCAGAATCACCAGGAGAAAGCAGGCCATCGTACGTCTCAGCCGTGAAGAAGCTACGAAGCAGATGTTAGCGCGAGCTAACACGCATAGCAAGTTTTCATGCTCACCTAGGCATTTCATCCTTCTTCGGCGCCGGAGAGGTCATCACCGAGCTAAGACTCGCATACCCGCTCTCCGTCCTCGCCTCCTTCTCAATCGCCTGGAAGACCGCCCATCCACGCTCTCTCCAAGCCTCGTCGCCCGTCGTCCGCCACATCAAATAGAAGCTCTCCACAGTCTACCAATGTTCGCTGTGAAGGACATTCGTCCGCGATTGGAAGTACCACTCACCTCGGGCCTCAGCAAATATCCCAGCTTCATCTCCGTGTAGTCCTTCTTTCCCTTCTTCCCCCGCGCTGGAGGCACCTCGGCCAGCCCGGGAGGAACACCTCCCGGGCGTCCCTGCCGCTCCCACACGTCCACGGCGTCCAGCCACTTACCGCCCGGCTTCATCGACATCTCGTCTGGACCCAGACCTGTCTCGCTGTCTGCGTACGTGATCCAGCACGTGTAGGCCAGGCCTTGCGCTGCCCATTCGTGCAGCTGCCTGTCTCGTGGTGGGAG